AAAAAAAAAAAAAAAAAAAAAAAAACATCTAAACCGGGTGTTCTTCGACTTCTTGTTTCGATTGCTTTCACATAAACCCACAGTTATATGCAAGCTCTGGAAAGAAATAAGAGAATATTTTAGTACAAGTCTAATTCTTTATCTAATTTATGGTCTCTTGTGTAGCTTAATTAATGCTTCTTGGTGGAGCGTTAGCTTGGGCAAATTCTTCTGTAACCATTCTCTTTCTTTGATTATTCTTTTAATTGGAAGGCCTCTCTCTTGTAGGCAGTTCAACTGAGAGGGGACAATAGCAGTAGTATTGCAACCTTTAACTCTGTTCTAAGCAGTAGACTACGTTAAAGCATTTAAAATTCCCCCTACTCCACAATAATGTTCGCAAGGCCAATGGATAAAGCTGTTTATGAAATAGGAAGCACTAATACAAGTAAAAATTTCTTTATTTTGATTGATTACAATCCTCTTTCATGCCTAGGGATTTCTCAACTTCCATTCATATCTCTTAAGGCTCAAAGCCAAGTCCAAAAATCCTACCATATAACTTTCATTTGTAAGATATTTTATATTGGATGATTCATTGACCATGACTAAGGCTCAAAGATGCGAAGAACACCCACTTCTAAAAATTGTGTTCAACTAGCAGCCGAAAGATTACTAGTCACCAAAAAACTAAGACAGCTGAATAAGTAACTGAATCAAAGAAGCTAAGGAAATATAATTGTCAGTCACAACTCCACTTATAGCTGCAATCAGCAGCTGAATAATGAGGATGAAAAGGCCCTCAGCCCCTTGAAATTAGACAAGAATCATCAAAAGTTTGTAATTACAAAAGAATTTTGAATGTAAATTGAACGTAAAGAATACCACCACGAAGCTGTATTCTATGCAAAGATACAAAAAAAAAAATCAAGGCTGAAAACTTATCTTTGAAAGTTCTAACCTTCCTTTCCTTCCAAATACGACAAAAAAGAGCCCTGATCGTACCCCTCTCAAAAGGAGGCAAAGGGGCAGCCCCAATCTACTGAAGATAAAATGCCGAGCTTTGACCATAAAGGGGCAGTGTAAAAACAGATGGTCCATGGACTCTTCCTCTTCAGAACAAAGTCTACAAATGGACAGAGAGATGGCTCAAGAAGAAAATTATCTTTGGATCTTGTCATCTGTTATTAAGGCTTCTATAAGCCAAAGAGCGAAGAAAGGCCTATACCATCTTGGGAGTTTTGAATTTCCCGATCAACCTGATCAACGGAATACAAGCCTCTCTAGGTCTATTAGAGAGGTTTAAGAAGGCCGATTTGGCAGTATACCTGCCTGAGTTATCAAGAGACCAACCAAAATATGCCCTACTCCTTACCAAACTGAGCAGAATTCAGCTTCTCCACGAGACACCCAACTTGTTCAGTCATTTCATAAGCAGGGATGAGTTTCTTTGATTAAGAGATCCCACTCCAAGGCCTCCAAGGGTAGTTGGAAGAGAAGCCCAATCCCATTTCACAAAATAGTTTTAAAATTATCACTTCCAGAGTTTCATAATCCAAATACAATCCAAAACAAGTTTTCGTAAATGAATCCACCAAACAGAATTTCAATGAATTCATCTGATTCAGTAAATCAAAAAACAAGAAACTGAGTCTTATTCAGATACCTAACAAACCCTCAACTAGACCAAAATGAGGATTTATCTTTAGCTACAACAAATCATTCAAACCATTCAAGAGATTTCTCTGCGAGGATCCTTTGATTACTTTCAAACCAAAGTTCTAAAATAATTCTTCAAAAGAGTTCACCCAAATCAACTCGTGAACTTAACTTCTCTATGAGAGGTTGCAAGATATTGTTTAGTGAACATTTGTCAAACACCCCAGAAACTTGAAAACAATTACATAAGTGCTGCCACATTTCCAGAATTACGAGCAATGAAAATATGATAGGATTCTGATCTATACTATCTATCAACTTTCATAAACAGTGCACCAACAGCTGCCTCTAAAGCAAGCAAAGGCACTTTCATTTATAAATTTTCAGTTCTATCTAAGCCACCCTTTAGCAAGATCCAAATAAACACATCGAAATTCTTCAGAATTCTAGACTTCCAGCAAGACTTTACTGAAAGACTTGGATAACACAAGAGAAGGCACTTAGTGACTAAGAAAGCACCGAGAATACACCTGAAATATTCTTTTACTTCTTGTACTACAAGGAAAACTGTTAAACCTTCCAGCAAAGCAAGGAACTATATTCCTGAATTTCCTCCTGAGATTTCTTCTAGTAATAAACTTCTTTGTTTGGTCCAAAGCATCATAAATTGAATAAAGAATGTTAAGACCGTTTGAATGAGGAGGAAGGGTTCATTTGAAGTGCTTTCAACCATGGAAGAAGTACTTTAAGTGGTTAAAAGCCTTGACCAAAAAAGTTTTAAAAAAAAAGTATACAAAAGCGTCCTACCTCAAGTGTTTGCGTTTGACAATAATTTGCGCAGAAAGTGTTTGTGTTTGTAAATTATTGGCAAAAGGGAACCAATCAATTTGGAATTTGAAGAGCTTAGAGACACAGTAATGCTGGAGAATAGGGGATCGGGTCCATTTTGCTTTTAACCATGGAAAAGGTACTTGTAAGTATTAAAAACGTATCCTGCCCTGAGTGTTTGTGTTTGACTACAATTTGAAAGCACCTCTAAAAAAAGCACAAAGCACACTTAGAAGTGCTTTTTATAGAAACAAATCATTGGTGCTCTAATCAAGTGCTTTTAGTTTACACTATCTCTATGACTAAAATGTTTCCTAATTGCCTCTAAACACATTTTCTCTCCCTAACTTCTCATAATCAATTTCCCTCTGAAATTTCTCTAAACACGACATAGAAGCTTCCTCAGACTAATCACATCATAATCTCTCCACAGACTCTCACCCTCAATTCATTTTTTTATAGATCTAATTTCTATCATCATAGTAAGCTTTCAGCAAATGCATGTTAACTAGAATTCAAGATGCCCCAAGAAGTAAACTTTTATTTGATAGGGTAAAAAGAGATGTAACATATAACTCAACTGTTGTCTACTTGTATGAAAGCAGAGAAAAGCAGAAGCAGAGAAAAGCAGAAGCAGAGGAGCAGAAACAGAAGAACAAAGAGGTAAAGGAAGAGAAAATATATCGAACATGGAGAACGAAGACTATGCCTATAAAATATTGAAGGCTATTTTATGGAAAATGAATGGCAGCTGGGAAGAGATCCTAGAATTCTGGTGAACTCCTATAGGGAATACATAGATTTTGGTTGTAGCTTTTCACTAAACAAATTATTTAATAGATTCTCTGTTCCTTGAGATTAAATACGGAAATGAATGAATCAGCTGGTTCTTAGGATATCTCTAAGAGCAATTGGTGTATGATCGTCCTTCCAATCTAATGGTAAAGTGACACCTATGCAGTCTTTTGGCTTGTTTAGTCAGAAACAAAACAATTTTTTAGGATAAGGCTATGGATTCATAAGAAATGTGGGGAGTCGGTGTATATTTTTATGTTATTCCTGGTGTACATTTCCAGAACTCCTGTGTAAACTAACATCCCTTTTATTGATGTAAACTATCCGTTAACTCCTTCAGCTTTAAGTTGGGAGGATTATCTTCCCTCGCTCCTTTACTTCAGTTTCCTAGGCCACAAAATCAAGCATTTAAAAGAAACTGATTGCGTTAAAACACAAGCTTTTGACAACAGTATGCTGACAGTTATAGACGGGGCAGCATTACATGATGCTCAACGAAGAACAAAATAAGTTTCTAAGCTCCACGGTTCCTCTACTTAATAAAACTTGTGGCTGAAACCTAAAGTTTATGACATCAATGTGAAGAAACAGTCAATAGTGCAAGAAGCAGAATTTTAACATCAGTTTAAGATTAATAAATAAAAATGCAGCAAAGATATTTTCAACTAATGCACCTTTTCATCAAACACATTCTTACCACCTCAAACAAAGATGACTTGATAAACCTTGCCACTGAACTTTCAGAATTTTGGTAGTCTGCTTCGCCCAGAAAACAGGTCGAATTGAAAGATCTATTATTAAAAAAAATTCACCAAAAAAAAAAAAAAAGAAAATCAACTCTAAATATTAACCTTGGAAGCTTAAATAAGTATGGTGGAATAATGATCAGATCTTCACTAGGAACATAAAATTGGAAATGGTAATGAATTTCAACAATAAAATCTTAAACGAAGCCATCCCGTACTTGGGAAAAACAAAAAACAGTTTTTACTTTCTATTGGACAAGTGAATCGGAGGCATGTAGGTCAAGTACAAACTAAAGTAGGTCAATTCTCATAAAAGTCATAATATCCTTTCTTCTTTTACGACCACCAATTATGACATAATACTGTCGGCTATAGTTCACATACATAAGAAGACAATATTGTATCTAACAAGTTATTTCAACAAGTATTGTAATACTAACAGACTTCCTATATGCAATCTTGAATAACTCGATTAAACTATTATATATGTGAATCTTTCTTTCCCTAAAAAATGTTTTCCTTGATAATGAAAAGAGGGCAATAATATGTGTTCTCGGAGGTATGTTTTTCAAAAGCGTAGCAAAGATCTTTGGAATTGCATGGTTTATAGGCCTCCTTTGGCATATTTGGAAGAAAAGAAACAAGAGGTTTTTTTAAAAGTCAACTTCGTAGAATTCTTTATCTAGTTAGTGTACAGCATACGACTCCTTGGTGGTGTTCTAGCCTTGAGAAATTATTTTGTACTAATAGTTTTCATGTGATCATTAATAACTAGAAGGCTCTTCTTTTGTAATCTTTTTGTAGTCTTTGGTTAGTGGTTTTCTCTACCCCAAAGTGATTGATCCTTTTTTGTGACTAATACATCATTTCTATTTTTAAAAGAAAGAAGAAAAAAAAAAAAAAAAAAAAAACCTACGTCTTCTTCTTGGATATCTGCCTACATTCATCCCTTCAGTATGAACAACATCAGCTTGTAAATTTTCTAAATATGTAACTCTCACAGAAATTCCTTCTGATATAATTTACTCCATCCATACCACACTCCCATGTCAGATCAAATCCACCAAAACACAGTGGTGCAAATGTCTACAGGGCCAAGGGCGAATGCTCGTACTTCCAAAACAAATTAGTGTGTTATATTTATCCTCATTGAGAACATGACTCTCCTCTAAACTTAAAACTGGTCATACCCCCTATAATTCAATTATTTTGGATAAGAAACACATACACCCTATAATTAAACAAGAAAACAAAAGAAAAATAGTTAAAATGACACACGTTAACACAGTTTAGAAGCATGCTTTACAATAAGCTCAATCTTTATTCATGGACTTGGCAATTTGTAAATAGCCCTATACCACTCCTCAGGTTAACCAAACTCAAAGATGCCTCTTCTTGTATGAAGAAAGACATAAAAGACACCTCAGCTTATGAAGAAAGACACCTCAGCTGTTAGACTCCCCAGTTCTTCTTTCCACCATTTTAAACTAACAATGAAAAGACATCCCAAATATTGAACAAAAGGTAGGAAAAAGGGGAAGACAGAACAAAAGAAGATTATCAAAAACACTTTACTAATGAAAATTTGGTTTGAACAAGGCATTCCTGGTATGCAGGACATGAAGAGTTGTGTCAGAACAGTCTTATTTAGGACTCTTTTCCAGACAACAAGAATCACTTACCCTAATGCCAAGGACCCACAAGGACAGACAACGTAATCTAGTTTCTTTTGATTTTTTTTTCTTTCTTTTTTTTTTTTTTTTTGTTAGGAGACGTCTTTATTCAGTTTCAACACCGAAAACAAAATTAAAGTGAAAAACAAAATATGTTTGCGATGATGTTGATTAAAGGAACATTACGGTTTTAGATGAAATGGCATTTAAATGTCGGAAGATGAAAAGAACATGTAAACATAACAATGAACACAATGAAGTGATAGCCATATACCAAACTTCTACTACATACTGTTGATGTCTACATGAACCATGTCAGAGCCAAATATTATAATCAAGAGACAAAACCAAGAAACTTAACTGCCACAGAACTTCATCCCCAAAAACCATCTTCGTATAAGGCAGCAACCTGAAATAACAAAACTAGAATAAACCACCCAAATGAAGAAAAGAGGCATAAGGGAATCACCTATATCACTAGATGCAATAATACCAAGGAAACAAAATTGGCTCCAGTAACACGGAATCCATGAGTCTGATGAGAAGAGCTGCAAATTTAATGCTTTTTCCCACGGTTCTCAAGACCTACATTCTTTGTCTTGCCATCTTCAGAGGAACGATCATTTGGAGTTCTACCAGAAAGTAAAATACATAAAATTATAATTAACTTAAAACTTAAAGGAATAAGACAGCAGCAATTATTACAATAGGATGTCATATTTACACTCTATGTTTCTTTGCATTTTGTTTGATGCTCTGCACCATATCCATAGCCATCTTTTGGTGCTCCCTAGTTTGTGAATGAAGCTCCAAGCCTTCAACTGTTTCACAATCAAATTTACAAATCCTACACCATCCCATATTGTTTCGTTTCCTCTTCCTTGAGTCATCAAAAGAATCAATGTCCCCCTGAAGATTTTCATTTTCAGAAAACAAGGGATAGAAATAGAAATGCAGGAAGAAATAATATTTACATATAAATTTGAACAATGAAACTTAACTGCAAAAAATCGACCATCATCTGCAAGCACCTGATGAGAAAAACTGCTTCTAAACCCAGGCTCGCCAAGTCGTCGATGATTGGGCCTATGCCCTCCACCAAATGGATCAAAGTTGCCAAGCAGAGACAGATCTTCTATTCGAAAGTGACCAGGATGTGAACCAAAAGGAGTAGGCTCACCCGAACGTAAATGCCTAGTCAAGTTTGTGAATTAGGAAGCTGAGAATGGTGTTGAGCTGGGGCTTGTGAATGGGGTGGTAGCCGAGAAACAGGATGGTGAGGCGGATGGAAAGGAGGACGCTGATGTGGTGGCATCTGGGAATGAGGCTGCTGATGTGGTGGCATATGCACAAGTTGCTGCGAACTGGGCTGAGCTTGGGGGTATGACTGAGGTTGAGGTTGTGCTTGGCCATGTGCTGGTGGGTGACTCTGCGGTTGGATCTGAGAATGTGGGGTTGCAGCATGATATAGTTGCTGCTGAGGGTTAACTTGTCCCTGGTTCTGAGATGGACCAACTGCCAGCATTTGGACGTGCATATGTGATTGAGACGGACCATGTGGCTGAGGTAGGGGTTGAGGTTGTGGTAGAGATTGAGGCTGGGATTGAGCCTGATGTTGGGGTTGGGATTGGGAATGGACAGGAACTTGGGGTTGTGATTGAGGCTGGGGTTGAGGCTGCGGCTGCGGCTGTGGCTGGGGCTGTGGCTGGATGTGCGCCTGAGGTTGTTGCTGGGCAGCCGCATGTGAAGGAAGAGCCTGAGATGACTGTGGCTGCTGAAACGGAACAACTGTCTGCTGCTGGTAAGGGGAATAGTTCTGGTACTGCTGCTGATAAGGATCATATCCAGGATACTGCTGATAATATTGCTGATACTGTTGTTGCTGTTGATACCACTGTTCTGAAGTCGGCGTAGCAGCTTGAACAACAGCTGGACCCTGGGAGCTTGTGTTGGCCTGCTGATTGGGATCCTGTGCAGGTGCACTAACTGCTACACTCCGTGTAGATTGGACGTGAGATTTTGTCATTTCAGCAGACTGGCCTTGATCAGTAGCAGCTGCCGTGCCACTGGCTGTGGTGCCTTGAGCACCATCTGCTTGTGCTTGAGGTTGCACACCCTGCCATTCAACAAAATACACAAAAATAAAAAAAACAAAAACACAAGTACGAACTATATATTTCGATCTTTCTTTCTCAACACTGAATGGCAACTTACAATAAAAGCAAAATTTAACTCACTGGACAAGTTTGTGCGTGCTCCTGTACTTGCCGGTGTACAAGTTGAATTCCACAACGATTGCATAAAACAGGGGAATTGCCAAAGGCACATCCAGAACAATGAGTTACACAATCAGACAATGGCCCTTGCCAAGTGCACCCACTCCTGTGATACAAGCAATGAACAGCTATTTTTCCAATAGCATCAGCAAGAGTTTTATTTGACTCAACGAGTGGCTGCAAGAAATAGTGAAATTATAGGCATAAATAGAGATAGATGTAACACAAGCACTAGAGTTCATAACCACAGAACTAAGAGATATAACCTTAGAATCCGCTTCTGTAACCAAGTAGCCATCATATGGGCAAGCCCTGGTAGTGCAAACTACATAAGTTAAACAAGGCTTGCAATACAAGTGAGTGCACTGTGACTGCAATGCTTCATGTGGGTAAACAAGCAAGCGACAGACAGGACAGAAATACTCCCCAGCAAGAGACTGAATGTTCAATATACACTCGCTGTCAAACCCCATAATGAAAGTTAACCTTCTGCTGCAAATCCAACCACATAAATCCTCTCCACCTGATTTCAAAGTATCTGTGAGAAATCAGTGGAATTCATTGTACAACCTTGAGAAACGCAACAACGAAATGGTAAGAACAAACGCAGAAGATTGAAACAAATTACAACCGCGTATGATAAATGAGAATGGAAGTCACTTAAACCACAAGCTTCCAAAATGAACGCAGAAGATCAAAACAAATTACGAACCACGTTTTCAAAATTAGCACTTAATCATAGAAAAACAGAGATTGACAACGTTAAAACCCTTGACTGACGGCAAACGAATCCAAGAAAATGAGAAGGCCTGATCAGAAACCAAACAACGAAGTTGTACACAAATTTCAAACGCACTCATTTCGTACCCGATGAAGAAAATACAGGCTCTCAGATTCAAGAACCGCTTCCAAGCATCATCGGCGCAGCTGAAGCCGTAAATTAAACTTCATCAAGAAGAAAAGATCGGACGGGGAGAATTTCTAGAAAAATTAACAGAAAACTGATTGAAGATTAGCTACAATTGAGATCAAGCTCCTTGACACTTGGCGAAGCAAGTGTACCGGGAATGTGGAAGGAACTTAGAAAGAGAAAAGCTATGGCGGTAAAAAACAAAGAAGATGACTCTTAAGCCCTAAACAGTGCCGTGGGAAAGGGATGCCACGCTCCGTTTTTACCTGCTGACGGCGTTTGTGGTAAATGCAGCATTGCCGTGATGACTTTAACGGCCGATAGGCTCTGAGATTCCAATGTATAGTTATTCACTTTTTATATCAAAATATAATTATATATATATATTGATTGGATTAAATTAACATTTTGGATAGGGTTAGATTCTTTTTTTTTTTTAACCCGAACGGAATCTGTTCGGTTTCGGGTTCATTGGCAAAACCTTCGGGTTGACCCGAGACCAATAAAATGTATAAAATATATTAAGAATCTTTTCGTATTAATGGGTTTGCTAGTAGTACACTGAGGCAGATGGTTTAGAGTCACTTACAACTTTTGGGTTGGGTAAAAAAAAAAAATCCTCCTACCTAACGCGGACCATGTACATCCGTGGATCATGATAAAAGGGTTAAATTAATTTTTGTCTTAAAAATATTTTTTTTAATTAAAAAAATAATATATTAACCCCTAAAAAAAATTAGTAATTTATTAAATATTTTTTAAAAGGGTAAAAAATTAATATTGTTAATTTTTGAGTTGAATATAATATTGGGTATTGTTGAGGGTATAATTTTCAAATTGGTCAAAGTTGAAGGACGTATTTGAAAGATATATAGGAGTTGGGGCAGGCTTCCAGTGGAACGGCACCGTGCGATGTTGCGAAGATCTCCATAGTTTAACCCAAGGTCTCGTTACTATACGTTCGGCGGCAACACAAGAACAGAGCTCGGCTAGCAAGCTTCATAACTTCACTCCGTCTTGCAGGATCCAATCTCTGGATTTTTCTCCACCAATTTTCCATGGAGAAGAAGCAGCTGAAAGAAATGTCCGTTCAAGAGTATCTGGACAAGTACATGCTCTCCCGGAAAATCGAGGAAGCGGTCAATGCTGCTGTTAGGGCGAAAACTCCCGATCCTGTTCTATTCATTGTAATCTCCCCCTCTATCTCTCTGTTCTTGGTTCTTAGAAAATGCTGGTGGAAATTTAATTGGACTGTTTTTTTGTTTTTTTCTGAACAATCAATATACGAAACTAGATGGAACGAATGCTTGTCGATGTAGTTGACGATCATGAACGCAAAATTTCCGTTGATTTTTATTTCTCATGGATCAATTGTACTTAATTGATTCGTTTCGCAGTTCATTCTTTATCTCTATTTACTTTTTTTTTTTTTTTTGTTTCGAACAGTCAAATCATATGAAGAAAGCGGTTCCTTCATTGATTACAAAAATTAAAGCTCGGCAGATCCTTGACAGTAGAGGAATTCCGACTGTTGAAGTCGATTTGTACACCAACAAAGGAGTGTTCCACGCTTCCGTTCCCAGCGGCGATCCGGCTGGCATGTAAGGTTCCCAGAGATGAGTAGACTTGAATTGGGAAGGATATAATAATCTTCATTGGCAAAACTTTTTGTTAGAGAGTGATCTGCGAAACGTTTGGCTGTCATTTTCAATTTCAACGCATGGTTTCCTCATGCCTGTTGAGTTCCTATACATTTTTTTTCCAATTGGATTTTAAGACGAGGGTTGCTTTTCCTAGGTATGAGGCTGTGGACTTGCGTGATGGAGATAAGGGAACATACCTTGGAAATAGTGTTACTAAAGCAGTAAAAAATATCAACGACAAGATATCTGAAGCATTGATTGGTAGGGATCCTACTCAACAATATGAAATTGACCAGGCCATGAAAGATTTGGATACGACAGAAAAAAAGGTGCCAATACATCTCCTTGTCCTGAATTCACAAATTTTATGGAAGTGTAACTTGTATGCCATCTTCTGTATTATTACTGTGCTCTACTATATCTGGTACTCGCTGGTACAATTGCAATGTTAATGGATGGGGAAGATTGAATTTACTTAATATCCCATACGACACTGTCTATTAGGAGGCAGGAGGAATTATTTATTATGCTGAATTATTTATCACGAGCATATGTATCATAGTTTACTTTGTTTTGTCATAAATTTAAATTTCAGCCTGCCTGGAAGATTTTCTACACTGATATCTCAGATTCTCAACTTAATATGAAAGAAGAAAAACTTTGCATATATATTGATTTAGAGTCACACGGATCAATGCTACCCTTTTTGTTTGAAATAGGACATAATAGTTTTTCATTATTTGTTATTCCTATCTTTGCTATTTTGGATATGTCATTAGGACTTTATGATAATGTGTCTGTCTGTCTATATAATAGATTGTTTATGATTAGAAAATATTTACATTGGATAGTTACTTCTTTGGAAAGTAGTTTATTTTCAAAGGCATCAATAGTGATACCTTTTAAGTTAGTATGTCTCTTAGTCAATGCACACTGCAGGGTGAACTTGGAGCAAATGCTATACTTGCCGTGTCAATTGCAGTATGCAGAGCTGGTGCTGCTGAAAAGGAGGCATGCTTTTTATTCACCTCTGTTACATGGAATTGTTTTTTCTGTTTATGGGGCATTTCTACAATTCTGCAAAGACATTTAAACCAAGTATTTTCAGGTTCCACTCTATAAGCATATTGCAGATCTTGCTGGCAAAACAAACTTGATACTTCCTGTCCCAGCCTTCACTGTAATTAGTGGAGGAAAACATGCTGGCAATAATCTGGCCATTCAGGTATGCTGTGGTAAGGATTCAAAGCAGTTGTGATCTTTTTTTTCTTCTTCTTCTTCTTCTTCTTCTTGTTTTTTTTTTTTTTTTTTTTTTTTTTTTTTTTTTTTTTTT